CTTGTGGTTTATATAAAAAATACCTAAGCAGCTTCTTAGAACAATTGATCATTATCTATAACCTGTCCTTTATCTGTGCTTACATATTTACCCACAACTACGCCTCCCCATTTACTTCATTCATACCAGATTCCATGTTGTGACCTGAAAGTGCATTAACATTCTGAATTTTCAATTACATTATTTTCCATATGTGAAATGGTCTCATCATAGCAGTTTCTCCTGTTGAAAAATATCTTTTACGGTCAACTTCAAATTCCAATTGCATTAAGAAATCTTTTTCTTATCTTGCACAGATACTGCTCCACTAGCTGAACTTAATCTCTTTCATCCTTGAACACTCACAATGCTATATTGGTCTTTTATTATGGCACTTAATCCAGTTTACTTTGTTATAGTTTTAAATGTCTCACTTATTATATTGCAAGATTGGTGCAGTCAGTCCCTGCCTCTTACATGTTTTTCTTTTTTTTAATCCTGCATATTAGCTAGCACCATATCAAGGGCTTTTAAGCTTATTGTTAAAACAATGATTGACTGAATAAATGAATGAATAAGCAGTAGGTTCCCCATAAATGTGACTATAAAGTAGTAAAATTCTATGACAAGTACTTTGTTTTGATAAAATCTTCTGATATTTACTATAAAACCAAGTGAATAATTCTTTTAATGAATTCTTAATTCTTTTAAAATTCATTAATTTTAATGAATTAATGGCAATAACTTTTAATGCCATTTATTATGTTATTAAGGGAAAAAATAACAGCAAAATATGAATTTTCTCATTTACAAGCTAGAACAGTAGATGCGTCTTTCTATTAAAGAAAACCTGTTATCTCTATTTGATTGTGATGTCTGCTGGCTCGCTACCATATTTCCTTTCACTGTCGAAGGATTAGGAAATGCTTATCCAGGGCATAATGATTAATGCTGCAAGTTTATCCACCTCTACTTGTGGAAGAAAGCGTTTCTAGGAGACCAACAGTAAAATTTCTTCATGGAATTACTCCATTTAGTATTTCATTAGCTCTTGTACTCAGTAAAAACATATATTAAAGTGCTTAAAAAAACAATCACAGAAATATAATACTATTTTATTTACTTAGAAATCTGTTTTAAAGTCATTTGCTTGCATCAATCTATTGCCTTTTTTGTTATTGTAGTTGTTTTAGTTTTATATACAGTTACGCATGCCAAAGGTCATAGGAGTGTACTGTTGCATTTTAGTTCCATGTGCCTTGAAATTGTTTGGCACTCACTGAGGTTATTAATCCAGAAAATAAGTAGAAATGTTAGTTTGACATTTAATGACTGATATTTTAATTTTTCAGTTGCAAAATATTAACCAATTTTTGGCTTTAAAAGAAAGGGATGAGTAACCTGGATTTAAATAATTTACTTTTATGAATATCTATGGAATTCTATCTTTCTTCTATTGCTAACAAATAAAATTTTACCAATATCATTATATTATGTTAAACCTGAATATTCTCCCATTCAAATACGTTAAACTAACAGCTAAAGAAATTAGAATGTCAAGCAAATATACTATTCAGTTGATATTCCAGGATAGAATTATGTTTAATAGGACCTGTAACTATGAATTACTCAATTAACCCAAACAAACATTTTATTGATTAAACTTCTCTGACATTACATTGTGGAATATTTAAAACAAGTGTCTAAACCTTTGGTTGAGTCAGATATTTGGCTGTGAATGAAATTTTTTTAAAAAATTGAAGTAAACTTTGTAAAAACAGACCCACAATGTCATCCCACCCATGTATCTCAGGCACAGCCTGCTATGAGAATGTAGTCAGACTTTAACTCCTCAGAATAATATGCAAACAGATAGATCAGTTGGAAGCTCTTCATTACAGCATCTGTTCTGTGTTTATAGCTATATCTGCAGATTGCTGAACACCCTCAGTGCACCAAAAACCATAAACGTAGGAATTACACATCCAGAATGGTAATAAACCCATTGGGTGATGTGTTTGTTCTCTGGAGTTTTTCAGTCCCTTGCTTCTGTTGGCAAGACTCTGTTAGATTTTTGTTGCTGCAGAAAATATTAGATTGTTTGTAGTTTTTGTAATTTTGGTGACAAACCAGGAAAATATAACAGCAATAAAAAGGTGAAAACATAGGCACTGAGCTTATTGTTATATTTTAAAACTACAGTCTCAGAGAGAGTTATAAGAGAAGCAACAGCAGAATGAATAAGTGAGAAAAATTAGTAAATGAGTGGTTGTTTTCCATATGAGTTTAGCCTCGAATACCCTTTGTAGTATACCTTGGAGAGGCTAAAGATTGTTCAAAAGAAGCTGTGTGTTATAATGATTTATTAGAAGTATTTTTTTTACTGTAATAATCTGTTGGTGATTGATCAATTATAGCTAATAATTAAATAACTTACTGGTGAAACCAGCACTTCTTAGAGAACCAGTACAATTTAAATCAAGCTAATTTTTCTCTCAAAAGCAAGATCCCAAATGAAATTAATTTCTCATTCATAATAGTGAAGGGAATATTGTCAGCTTATGAGGAAATCATCAGTAGCTGCGAGAAAGTGATCAGAATGTACAGCAATGCCTGGTTGTTCTAGAGGTGCTAACCTTGTTGTTGTTGTTGTTGTTTTAAATTTATTTTTATTAATTTTTAGAGAAAGAGGAAGGAAGAAAGAGAAAGATAGAAACATCAATGAGAAAGAACATTGATTGGCTGCCTCCTGCAAGCCCCAAACTGGGGATTGGGCCCACAACCTGGGCCCTGACCAGGAATCAAATTGGTGACCTCCTGGTGCATGGGTCGATGCTCAGCCGGTGAGCCACACCAGCCGAGCTGGGGTGCTAAACCTTGTTAAAGAAACATCAGCTAGCTTCACCTTCTCCCAGCAGCAAGCACTGAGTACTCTCCATCAGTCACTGCTCTCTTGGACAGGTCCCGATACTGTCTGTACATAGAATCACCGGAAGAGCTTTCTTCAATGTATATTCTTGGGTATGAGCCCAAGGTATCTTGATCACATAGGTTCACTCTGTTCATTAAGTGGTTAGAAGAACAGTTTTCATTAAAAACCCATGACCAAAAATCAAGTGAAAGTTCCGGAAGAACCACAATAAAGGTAGAAAAGTTAGGACCATGGAGCTAGTTAATGGTGGATGGTGGGATGGAAGCCTCGTAAAGCCATATGGGATGCAAAAAAGAATGTCTCTTAATTCCTATAAATATTCCAGTGGAAAAAAGCATTTTCTCCCTTATTTTCATTTTGTTTCCTCTTGTTCCTTTCCTCTGAAAGAAAGCTGTTATGCCATCTTACATCTGGACTCTGTGGCTATGGTCTATTTTTTCCTCATTTAATAGCACTGTTGGTTTGCTCTCATACTTGCTGATAATCCCCTGCCAGGAGGCTGCTACCGGGGGGATGCTGGCTATCAGGAAAAGCCATGGCAAGGGAGAAAAATAGCTATGCCACTTTGATGATCAGCATCCTAGGAAGAACTTGAAATTGAACGTGACCTTGCAGTTGAGACAGTGAGAAGTAGGTGTAAATTACTGCCTTCACCCATGATGCTGAAAAAAAATGTAGGGATGTACTTATTTGAAACAACTTTATGGATTTCAAAAATATATTTTTTTCATAGACTCTCTCATCTGATCATCAAATCAATTATATGACTTCTATAAAAGATGCCCATGGAGCTGCTTGGCAAGTAAAGATACAGAATTAGAAAGTTAAGGCATGTTCATTTTTTGACATATGTTAAGATAAGAAATTTGATGCCAATTAAGACATAGATGAAAAATGGCTAAGTAAAAATATACTTCTGAGTCACACAAATTCCCAGTGGCTCAGTTTCCTCATCTACAAAATGGAGAAAAATAACACCCATCCCCCTTACCTTGCTGACTTTTTCAGGTAAGTGAAATAGTTATAAAACAATGCACATGTTATAATAGTTACTACCAAACATTCTTCATTTTAAAGGAATGTTTCAAAAAGTAAAATTAATACTGTTCATGGGGAAAATTGCTTAATTTTTGGACAATTCAATTACTTTTAGAACTTCAAGCATTCATGTCATTTTCAAAATTGTAAATGTCACATGAAATTTGCTTCATGGGTCTCAGTAAAAGATGATTCATGCAAAATTTAGCATATGCTTTTTGCAGCACAGAGTCAGGAAAAAGAAAGGAAAATGTTTATTATACAAACTACTCAGAAAAATGACCAGAATAGAATAAAATGGATTTTGTTGGTCACACTGATTCTCAAGCTTGGAATTCTTGCTTCTTTGGGTACTTTATGGATAAGGAACCATTTGAGCATGACCTTGCAGTTAAGATGACTCAATTAATTGTAGCAAATTGGAACATCTTTATTACTATATATTAAAGTTCAATAAATAAGAGGAGCATGATATGACAGTTGCTTAAGGGAAGCTATTTCAGGATATATTTGGTGCTCAGTTGCAGTCAAATTTTGAAAAATTCTCCCAAGTGCTTAATTCCCCTTCTCTCATCCCAGATTAGTAGTGACATGGCTCTAGGGTGACAAAAATAAGTCAGAAAAGATCTTCAGCCACGGTCTAAACTAGAAATTAGAACTAGAGTTGGCATCTCTGACCCAGACTCCAGAGAGGTGTTGATGCTTCGTAGAGAGAGGACCCATATGTAAGGAAAACATTATTGGCAAAACAGAAGCTGCAGATTCTAGGTCAGAATAAGGATATGATCAGCTGGTTGTTGTTTCATGCTCCTTGCTCTTTCAAAGAAAAAAAAAACAAGAAGGTATTCCTACTCCAACAAAATGTGAAATTAGAAAGAGGAGAGAGAGAGAGCGAGAGAGAGAGAGAGAGCGAGAGAGAGAGGATTAAGAAAGAAAATAAAAAGCATTAGAGAACGTGAAGAACATGATTTAGTCAACTAGAAAAGAGAAGGGGGGCGGAACGTGGGAGGGAGAGGAAGGGAGAGGGAACAAACCCGGTCAGATTACTCACTTGGCATTCCCTGCCCCTGGTTTCTTTCTTCGGAAAATGTTGAGGAAGGTGTTGGAGCGGCAGGGCAGCTTGCCGTCGCCGACATGCATGCGGACGACATCAGAGGTGGTGAAGGCACTGCGGACGTTCCTCTCGGGCTTGGCAATGATGATGTACATCTTGGGAGTGAACATGCACCCCAGGGCCACTGTGACACTGAGGCTCACTGCAAAGCAGGTCGTGATGATCTTGTAGTTGCTCCCAAAGTAAATGGGCACAAAAGCCAGCCAGATGATGCAGGTGGTGTACATGGTGAAGGCGATGTATTTGGCCTCATTGAAGTTGGCGGGCACGTTGCGGGTCTTGAAGGCATAGTAGGTACAGCTCATGATGAGGAGTCCATTGTAGCCCACAGGGGCCACTACACCCAGGTTGCTGGTATTGCAGATAAGGTAGACTTCCTTGATACTTGGGTACGACAGAATGGGCATGGGGGGCTCCATGATGATCAAGGTCACCACCAGGGTTAGCTGCACGCTAATCAGAATGGAGGCGATGATCACCTGGGCCCAGGCGCTCATGAATCTGGGCTTCCGCGTGCAGATCTTCTTCTTGCTGCCAGCCAGAATGCGCGCGATGCGGTTGGTTTTGGTCACTAGAGCCGAGTAGCACATGGCAGAGGAGAGGCCCACCAGGAGGCGCTGGAGGTAGCAGGATGTGGTGGTAGGTTTGGCGATGAGAGTGAAAGGGCACACGTAACCCAGGAAGATGCCAGCGAGGATGATGTAGCAGAGCTCTCGGCTGGAAGACTTGACCACCGGGGTGTCCCGGTACAGCACGAAGATGAGAGTGACAAACAAGGTAACGAGGATGCCCAGGCAAGAGAAGGCGATGGCTATGATGGACTCGATATTGCTCCACTCAAGATAGCGGACAGGAATGGGTTCGCAGCCTGTGACGGGAAAGATAGTTTTAGATGAACCCAAGATGTCCACTGATCAGTGACCACAGTGCTTTCTAGTTACCAGAGGCTTAGCTAAATCCACAGTCCCGGACCTCATCGCATCACTATCCTAACGTGACATACTCGAGTCTGTAAAAATAATCCTTTTTCTTCCAACACCAGCATTATAAATGGACAAGTTTCACTCTGTGGGTGAAACTTGGCTCTATACTTTTGAAAAGAGAAAGTCTATGTTTCCAGTGAAGGTTAAATCGTGACAATGTATTAGATAAGTAAGAAATAAACTAGTAACATTTTTTATTTTTATGTAGCTTTTGTCTAGAGGCAAGTCTAGTTTACAGGTATTTTCATGGCCAGCAGTGTTTTAAACATACATTTCACTTTAATTCTTTAGAAGAATCCACAGCCTCCTATTTACCACATATTATATTATTCATCCTAGGTCTCACCCTTTAGCTATGTAGAATCTGTGTGTGGCATCTGAGGGCCTCTTGTTATGTTTCTAACAGACATACCAAGGAAGAATGAAATCTCCCCTCACCCATCTCTTGAAAAGAGAGACAGAGCTGTGTTCTTAAATGCCTGGCTTATCTTTTCCTTCAAGGTGGAGAATAATGTCTGTTTTGTACTTCACAGACAGAAGAAATGTCTTAGGTCTTGGGGACAACTCCTTAACAGAATTTTATGTTTGATCTGTGCCAGTATTTCCCAAGTTGTGAGAATAAAAATATTTCCATAAATTTAGGAGAAGACATTGCTCTGTAGACATGGCAACAAGAAACCACCAGAACCTACTTTAAACCTCTTCAGTCAATCGACCACAGCACTCCTCAGTGAGCATGGTTTTGCATGCCAACCAATCAGTGGCAGCACTTGCTTCTGATAATCACCCAATCAGGCACAGGCTCACATTTAATATATGAGTGCCAATCATTCACAAGCACAAACTTTTGATCGATCTTAGTGGCTTCTCTCTCTTGTCTGTCAGTGGTTTGTCTATGTCAAAGTCTCAATCAGTTCCTGTAAGAATTTCTGCTTCCTATAAAAAGTCACATTTTAAATTTAAATCTTCTCATTTCCTTGATGAAGTTTAGAAAGATGATTATATATTTAGAATAACAATGACCATTAGGGAGAACTTTTTTTTTTATTGCTTAGAGAGAGAGGAAGGGGGAAGGAGAGAGAAGGAAACATTGATGAGAGAGAACATCAACTGACCGCCTCCTGCATGACCCCACTGGGGATTTGGCCCACAGCCTGGGATTGCCCTGACTGAGAATCGAACTGGTGACCTCTTGGTACATGGGTTGATACTCAACTATTGAGCCACACCGGCTCAGCTGGGAGAATTTTTGGTATGACACAATCAATAAATTAAAATATTTGAACGGGTTTGTAGACAGCTTAGGAAACAAATACTAAGTAGTCAACATTTAGCTTCTTTTTCTTTTGAATCCTTACCCGAGGATATGTTTCCATTTATCTTAAGATAGAGTAGGAAGGGGAGAGAAAGAGAGAGAAACATCAATGTGAGACACATCGATTGGTTGCCTCTCACATGACCCCAACCAGGGCCAGGGAAGAACTGCAACCAAGGTACGCCCCCTTGACCAGAATCGAACCTAAGATTTTTTGGTTCATAGGCCAATGCTCTAACCACTGAGCAAAATTGGCCAGAGCTAGCTTCTTAACTGGTATACTGAGGTTGTTAAATGACATTTAAATTCCAGTGTAGTCTTTGTTAAGGCCCTGGTAACCTCCTGAAAACAACCCTCTTTGCACTTCTATTTTTCTATGTAACTTTACCTGATTTTTTAAATGAACTATTCAGCCCTGTGAGTTTTCATTAGAAAAGAATACCATATTTTAAATTTGTAGAATACAAGTCAGATCCATGGAAGTTGAATTAAAACCCTGAGCCAAATGAAGAGCTGTAATTAATGGTTTTCTTAAACTTCAGGCAAAATATTTTCTGCAAAATTCAGGAATTTTACTATATACTTATTGTCATATATTACAGATATATACCAATTAATTCAATTAATTGTCAGCCTCGTGGAGAAAAATGTTTAAAAGCAACAGATTTGAGAAAGAGAAGATTTAAATAACCCAGTAGTGTAAAATTTTTAAAATAAAAATAGAAAATGTATTACATAAGGCAATTTCAGAAGATTTTCTTTGGTAAAGATTCAAAATTATAAACTAAATAAAGATGCTAGACTTTAGGAAGCCTTCAGATAGTTCTGGGGTGGACTCAACAGCTGATATAAAAAGGATTACATCTTCTCCTATAAATGGCCTCAAACCTGAATTAAGGGAATCAAAGCAGAGGAAATGTTAAACTATGTAACTACGGACTCATAAATATTCCATATGTGACTAGATATTTTGATAGAGTATAAAAGTGTATAAACTGGAAATTAATATAATTATGGATCTTTAGGTAAAACAACAACCAAAAAAAGGACCTCTATTCTCTACAATTTGGGACCCTATAGACAGAAAATCTATAGATACTGCAAACAGAAGTGTCATTTAAAGAACCAGTGTTTCCACATTAGCTAAAGCTCAGAAGGATAGCTACTTAAACTTGTCCAGTGATTTAACTCCATGGGAGATATTAGCACCCATAAAGTCCCTGTCCTTTCTCTGAACTTCTAAGGGAAGCAATGCTTTCTTATTGATATAGTTGCCTTATGTCTACCAATAATTTTACTATTAGTAGAACATCAGAAACTTTTGTTTAATAAAACCACTCAAAGAGTCAAAAATTTTAATAATCTTTTGCTTCAACCTATAACTCATACTTTAAGATTATTATTAGAAAGATACATTATTCTCTGTAACACAAAATCCCAAAACTTAATAGATGGGATGTACTAGCAAACAAGATGTACTTACACATGATCAAATTATAGCTGCTCTAGTCATAATTTAAGAAATTATCCAAGAAATAGCTTTTGGTCCAGAATCCCTATAAATAAGGCCTCATAGAAACAGAAGATAGATTGGAACAGAGCACATAAGCATAGAGATTATCATAGGTACCTAGATTATTATAAATTTTTTTTGTATCAATATGAAAATGCTACACAGTGTTCTAGATATGTTAACTCAACAGCATAGCACATGTGAAAGAACCATTGTTCATTGTGGTAGGCAGCTTCTAAGATGGTTCCCAATAACACCACCTCCTTGGATTCATGTCTTGTGTAATCCTCTGCCCTGGAGGATAAACAAGGCCTATGACTTGCTTAATTTCTAAAGAATATAGTAAAATTGATGGGGCTTCACCCCCACTTTCAGGTTATATAAGATAATGATTTTCATCTTGGTAGCAGACTCTTCTGCTGGAAACAACCTGCCATGTTTCAAGGAACTGAGATTAGTTCCCATCCAGTCACCAGCAAACAACTGAAAGTCTCAGTCCAACAATCTTTGAGGACTACATCCTCCCAAGTACCACACAAGTGAGTTTGGAAGTGTACCTTTCCACAATCAAGCTTTCAGATTAGACCCTATCCCTAGCTGACATCTTGATTTTAGGCCTGTGAAAAATCATGAAACAGAGGATCTTACTAAACTGTGAGATAACAAATGTGTGTTGTTTTAAGCTACTAAGTTTTGAAATAATTTGTTATACAGCGATAGATAACACATTTGCCCATTAAAGCCAACCTCTTAATTCAGTAGGCAATGCATAAGGATAATTCTAAGCATAAACTAAATAAGGCAAAATATCTTCAGGTTTTTTAGAAGGTCTTTAAGTCTGTTACCATATGTAATAAATCCCCATTAAAACATCCAACATTTTCTACTAGCTAATTAGTTAATTATGAATTGTTGCTTCTTCTCCTTCTTATATTACTATATATTTATATAATACTCATATATCTTAATCAGTGGAGGAAAATCTCAAGATTGTGTTTATGCCATTCAAGAAGTGTCCCTACCCAGAAATGAATTTTGACAACCCAGTACTAGGTTTCTTATAATAAAAATAAAAAGGGGCCCTGGCCGGTTTGGCTCAGCGGTTAGAGCGTCGGCCTGCGGTCCCGAGAGACCCGGGTTCGGTTCCCGCTAAGGGCATGTACCTCGGTTGCAGTTTGTCCCCGGCTCTGGTCAGTCGTGCGGGTGGCAGCCACTCGATGTGTCCCTTCACGTCGATGTTTCTCTCTCTCTGTTCCTCTCTCCCCCTCCTACTCTACCTGAACAAAAAATGGAAAAATGTCCTCGGGTGAGGATAAAAAAAAAATAAATAAATAAATAAAAAGGGAAACTACTAGATTTAATATACATTTAGTAGTCTAATAAGTACTACAAAATGCAGTACTTTACCACAATATAAACTTTTCTAATAACTGAATTGTGGCCTTCTCTGAGGTATATCAAATTGTTAAAAGAAAATAACAGATATATAAACTAATAGCTGGTATACTTTCAGAATAATTCACTTATTTAACATAATAAGCTTATAGAAACTTAAGCCCGGCCAGTGTTGCTCAGTGGTTGAGCATCAACCCATGTAGCAAGAGGTCGCTGGTTCGATTCCTGGTCAGGGCACATGCCCAGGTTGTGGACCCGATCCCCAGTGGGGGGCTTGCAGGAGGCAGCCAATCGATGTTCTCTCTCATTGATGGTTCTGTTTCTCTCTCTCCCTCTCCCTTCCTCTCTCTCAATAAAGAAAAAAAAAATCTAAAAAAAAGAAAAAGAAACTTAAAACAAAGTCTTTCAGTACTTTTTAAAAATTTAATAAAAAGGTAATTTTTGACGCATTGATACTATGTAAAATAATTGCTTCCATAAAACAATTATTCAAATACTCAGTAAAAGGTACTATAAACCCTATAGGTACTTTATAAACACCTTAGAGATATAATAAAAATATTTTAGAGATGATCATGCTAAACAGACTACTCTGACTAGAAATCCTTACACAAGGGTTTTATATAAAACAGCCACAAATTTTTTATTCCCAACTCTCTAAA